AGCAGCATGGTACCATTAGCACCTTGGTACTGTTAGCACCATGGTACCGTTAGCACCTTGGTACTGTTAGTACCATGGTACTGTTAGCACCATGATGTTCTCACCTCATGATGACATCTATTTCATGAAGAACACCAGTTCCTCCTGCAGCGAAACACCCACAGCATGATGTTGTGATGGTAGATCTTCAGCTTTTTTGGGAGTGTTGACACATTTTACACCAAAACACATTCATCATAGGAGCACAGAACCCGTCTTCTTACTGAGCAGAATGATGTCAGGATGTTCTCATGGTTTTAATACTTGTTTATGGTTTAAACTAAGAAAATGTAATCTTGAAGAAAGTAGTAAAAATGTCTACAACATCTATATACTTTTAATTCAGGCATTTTGAAAATAGAAATTATTTTGGGATTCTCAACTGACCCAAAACAGGAGAGGTTGAATCCACTTTAAACATGTGTAAACATCTGGTTTTAACTGTACGTGTGTGCACTTGGACTGAAGTGAGTTAGGATGTATGTGAGATAAAGGGATGCTGCTTTAAATAAAACAATGGTCTTGAGCAGAATATCTGTCCAAAGATGCTACAGGTTCATAATTCAAACCTTCTGAAGTGTCATCTCTTCAACTGTTTCCCTCACGTGATCAGACGATGAAGATGTGGAGTCTTCAAGCAGCAGCGGCTTTAAACTCCACTCAGTGTGCTACAGCTGGGGTTTACAGAAACGCTCTAACTCTTTCAGAGCAGTTATCTTTTTGAATCACTGTAAATTCTCACCTTTAATCCAATCAGTTGCATGAAATGTTTTTCTCTTCTCTTCAAATTCTCTGAACGCCTGTTTTGTTGTTGTTGTTTTGCAGTTTATAGCCTGAGAACAACTGCTTTGATTTACTGGGGGTTGCTTTTTCTACATGCATGATCTCTGTTGTGTGCACATTGTTGATGTGATGGACTAGATACACTTCATAAGTTCAACTATTTCAGTTCAGGGGACACAATAAAATAATCTTTACCTGGTTTTAAATGTATTCAAATCTACAAAAACACACATTAGATTCTATGATGTCATTGTTTATTAACCAGAATGAAAACCAGAGTGTATAAAACCAAGTCCGACCCGTGATCCAGCAGCTTGTAGAACCTTCTTTAACAGCAATAACTGGAGGATTGACTACCTTAGTTCTTTTCTTTCTGGCCCGTTCTGCTGATCAGCTGCTGTGATTGGGATCATGGTCCTGTTGGTCTCAGTTTGATCCAAGCAACAGCTGTTGGACAGATGTCCTCTTGTTTGACTCTAGAACCCTCTGTTCATCAGAGGAGTTCATGAGCCCAAACCATCAGTCCTCCACCACCATGCTGACAGCTGTCTGAGGTGTGTCTTTTTGCCATAAGTGGTACAGTGCATTATGGGAAAACAACTTTTCTTTGGTCTTGTGTCCAAATGGCATTGTCCCAGAAGCCTTGTGGTTTGTTCAGATGAAACTTTACAAACTTACGTTGTGCTGCTGTGTTGATTTTAGAGAAAAGATGATTTTTTTTCTGTAACCTTTTCCATCCATTCATCCATCATCTTTACCCGCTTCTTCCTCTTCGGGTCACTGGTGCTTATATCCAGCAGTCACTGTATGAGAGGCAGGGGCCACCCTGGACAGGTCTCCAGTCCATCACAGGGACACATAGAGACAAACGAGACAAACAGCCATTCTCTCTTTCACCTAGGGACAATTTAGAGTTATCAATCAGTCTAATGTGCATGTTTTTGGTCTGTGGGAGGAAACTGGAGCACCCGGAGAAAACCCACGCATGCACGGAGAGAACATGCAAGCTCCACCCAGGGAGGTCCCTGGCTGGGATTCGATCCAGTGACTTTCTCAATGAGAGGCAGCAGCTCTACCATCTGATCCACCTTCTGTAACTCTTTCAAACAAAAACATCCATGTCTAACCGTCTTATCATGACTAACCTACGACTTGAGGCCTGTAGACTCTGAGATGGAGCTCATTTCTCTGACCACTGCACAGTCTGACCTATGGGGTAAGTTTGGCATCCACTCCTGGGAAGACTGGCAGCAGTTTTAAACTGTTTATATTTGTGAATAATTTTTCTCTCTGTAGAGCAATGAACTCCAAATAGTTTGGAAACCACCTTTGACCTTTTCCAAACTCATGGTCAACAACAGTTGCTCCTCCTAACTGCTGATGTCTCCTTGATATTGTGCTAACACGCACCTGTATGCTCCAGAGCAGCAAAACACCTGCTTTGGTAGTCTCTCTGATGATGATGGTTTACTCAACATTTGATGAGCAGGTCCAGGCTGATCCTGAACCTTTGAGATCCTGTAGAAACAACCAGTTTCCACTCACAGCTTTTCTTTTTTGTTTAAAGACAATATAATTAGTTGTTATTGACTTGAATAGCTTTAGAACCTGATAAAGATTTGATCAGTTTTATGTCCTTATAAATAATAGCTTGAACTTGAAAGTGGGGGAATACTCTTTTCCCCATAGCTGGGGTTATGTCCCTGTCCTGTCTTTTGTCCCTTCATGGACACCTGAACTATGGCTCTGTGTTCATCATTCAACACATTGCTTAGGTTTGATGGGGGTGGCTTCATACACACTGTAATTCACGTTACCCTACAGGTTATAGTGATGCGGTGCCAGAGTGACCAGCCTCCAAACGACATTAGGTTCAATTGATTAATTTATTAACTTTCACACAAGCTCAGACTCTGTTCATAATAAACATGTTAGTGGTATGGATTATTGCTTAAGTCTCACCTCAGACCTTCTCTTAACAGTCAGCAGCAGTTCAAACAAAATAAACATTTTGTAAATCGGGAAGTTTTAATGACTTGGCAAACATTTTATTCACCTGTTGAATGCAGGATGTATTATGGTATGGACTCTTGTCCCGCCCTATAACTTCTGATTCACTCAAGACTGTTTGATGAAACTTGATGCACAAACACATACCATACCATTTTATTTATAGAGCACTTTAAACAGTGACAAGGCCAACCAAAGTGCTGTACAAACAAACAAACAAACAAAAAAACAGATAAAGCACACAGCTACACATAATGTAAAATCAAAATATAGAAACAAAATGTTAGCAAATAATAACGTAATGATTAGCCCTGTGTGATGTATACAGGTTCAGCACAAATCATACAGTATTGAAAGCCAGGGAATAGTAGTAGGTTTTTAAGTGGGATTTAAAAACTGTGAGGGAAGGGCCTGTCTGACAAGTAGAGGTAACTCATTCTATAGTCTAGGGCCTGAAACAGAGAAGGCCCTGTCACCTCTGTGCTTAAGACGGGTTACTGGAACTGAGCGAAGCAACTGGTCTGTAGACCTCAGAGAACGCGGTGGGACATATGACTGCAGTAGATCAGCGAGATAGGAGAGGGTAAAACTGTTCAGTGATTTAAAAACATACAGAAGGATTTTAAACAATTCGAAGGTGAACTGGTAGCCTTTGCAGTGAGGCCAAAACTGGTGTAATGTGCTCTCTTTTGCCTGTACTGGTTAAAAATCGGGCTGCAGCATTCTGGACCAGTTGTAGTCTGGCAATGGAGGTCTGACTGATACCAAACAGGAGCGAGTTGCAGTAATTGAGTCTGGATGTAATGAATGCATGTATTACTGTCTCCAGGTTATTTTTGGGCAATATGGGCTTCAGCTTAGACAGATGCCTCAGCTGGAAAAAACAGGATTTAACAATCACATTCACATGACTGTGAAGTTTAAAGGAAAGGCCCATTATCATTCCCAGATTAGTGACTCTTTGTTTCACTAACGGGGCTAGAGCGGAAAGGTCTATGCAGTGGTTGACGATCGAGTCATTGGGAGGGAACAACATGACTTCAGATTTCTTCTCGTTGAAACTTAAGAAATTTAAAGCCATCCAGTCTCTGATGTCAGCCAGGCAGTCAAGCAGAGGTTGAATAGAGTATGTACCA